CGCATACTTCACAGGTAAAAGGAGCTTCCTTGAGATCGAGCTACTTCGGGCCTAGCACTAGAGACCTGTAGGAGAGCATGACATGCTTAAAACGGCACGTCACACCATTTTGCGGGTAGATATTTGTAAGAATGCCCACTTAAGTGTACAGCGTCCCACGATGTCAACCGTGGACTAGAATTCGCTTATTCCTACCTCGACGATATTTCAGCAGCCGGTTCAGCAGAAGAGGAGCATCTCTACCACGTTTGAGCACCCTTCCAGCTCTAGACCCAACGACGCGTCACAGTCAACCCGACTAACAGTGAACTCGGTAAAGCAACGGCAGGATTCCCAGGTCACCTCGTTTAATCGTCTGCTAGTGAAGTCCTTCCTGATAAGATCTAGGTACTCAAACACTACCCTACTTTACCTTCGTTTAAGCACCCCATTTTATTTAGTTGTTTTGTTAAGACTTTACACCGCGTTGTGCTCAGCTAATGCAGACTCTGACTGACTTAAGCAGAGGTAATGAACGTTAGGTCGATTTTCCTGACACAGCACAGACAGCCTTCTCCGAACTCAAAGATGCGCTCTCCGGCATAGTCCTCCTAGCTCATTCCGAATGGACTGAACCACTTGCTATTACGGCTGATACTTCAGACGTCGCCGTCGGAGCCGTCTTCCAACAACGCGTTTGTGAGCAACGGCATCCCCTTGGGTTCTTCTCCAGGTGTAGGCAGCCAGCGGAACCGCGTTACAGCCCGTTTGGCAAAACACTGCTCGCCACCTACCTAGCTGTTCGTCCCTTCAGGCGCACACTCGAAAGCCGAGCTTATAGTTTCTACACTAACCATAAGTTCAACGTCTTCGCCTTCATCTCTGCTTGCGACAAATACTCACCCTGGGAATCTAGCCATCTAGCCTTTGAATCGCCATTCACTGCTGAAATTTATCATGTTTCAAGTGTCCACAATGTCGTCGCCGACGCTCCTTCACGAACCAACCTCATTCCCCAGTCTTTGCCGAACAATATCCACGTGGTGCGATCTAGGTGGGCCGAGTTAATCCTGTCCCAGCGAATGGTTCGGCAGCAATGTTATAGTATGTAGTGCGTTTTCGCCTGTCAAACGTTTACCTGGAGCCGGGTTCAGGGTGATCAACAACGCCATGCTCCCGGCTGGAGGCTCACCATTGCACTCTGGTGGGTTGAAACACGCGACGGCCCCTAATTGGGTTCGCTCGTGCGTGTAGTTTTTACCATTGGGGGCCTCACGGTCGCCCTCTTTATTCCACAACCAAACACACCACAACTGACACCACTGGCCATGCCACTCCTCACACCTTATTCCCCGTGACAAAACCCAAACCACATCCACTCATGTTCACACACTCGCACCGAACGACCACATTCAACCCCGCTACACTGAACACACATACACACTCGTAGTTACAACACTCGCTGATTGGACACGCCACACTACACCGGCACACTAACCTCGCGCACCAAACCACCCACTAGCAACGAATTGCACCGCGCTATGCCGCCTTTACTGCGGCGTGCCCACATACTACTCGATTAGCACACTTCCCCTATCCGACACATCGCTCACTCTCTGCTCCCACGTCTGCTCGTCTAACAAGCATTCGGGGGTGGGTGTGATACGGTACGGTGCGTTGCGGTGCGGTGCGGTATTTTTCCTCATCAACATACCATATAAGTGATCTCATTACTATCTTTACCTCTCGCATTCTGTGTACATAGACTACATACAACATTTGGGCTCAATGGGCCCACACTACTGTCTCCAACTGTACTACTCCCACGGTTGGTGCTGCTTATTCCGCTATCATGTACAATAATGCAATGTGCTGATCATGCCAAAAAGGCGTGTCTCGCTTTGTCGAGAATAAAATATTTATTTATTTATTTATTTATCTATAAAAGCCAAAAAGATTCGCTTAATAACATTGACGGAGCAGATATTACCCACTACTAACTAAGTCACAGCTTCCTGCTTTACCGGAGGGTCTTACTACACGCACGGACACCAGAAAAGTCGGATATTATTTGATTCGATGTAATTGAACTCTTACGTAGGCAGCTGAAAGACATACACTGTGCATCCTCTGACGCTACGCAAAACAAAAAGGAAATGTTCGTACTCTTAGGCCTTCGCAACAGCCTCAAAGATGACTTGCAATATGCTCCAGCAGAGCTGGTTTATGGTACAGCCATAAAGTTGCAAGGATACTTCGCTACGCCCCCGCATCCACTGGTATGCCTCCGCCTAACTGCGACCACCCTCACTCAACCCGTGCATACACTAAGCTGGACTCAGCCGCGTGAGAAAACCAGAGCAACGCAAATGCACAGTGGACTATCTACATGTACTTACGTCTTCCTCCGCACCGGCGAAGTGCAGCGCCCTATCCAGCCTCGCTACACTGGCCCTTTCAGTCCTGCAACGGACTCCGAAGCATCCAGTATTGACCAGAATGGTCACCGAACAACCGTGTCCATCGATCGCCTCAAGGTGGATTTCTTTGACAAAACACTTGAAACCCATGCGGATGCTATCATAAAGGCATTCATGCCTGTGGTGACTTGCCGAGTAGTGAATACACCGAATCTCTCCGGTTCTCTTGACCCTCAATCTACCCCGCCTAAACCTAATGCAACCGACCGACGTGGTAGAGAGGTCAAGCGTCCAGTCCGTTTGACAGAATTTGTACATGAATGCTATTTCCATTAACACGCCTCTTTCGTCTTTAGTGGTAAACTTGCGCCCTGTTCACAAACGTTTTTCAAAATCGAACGAAGCCCAAAGTATTTCGAAAGCCATATTCCCGCTTCGGCGTAAGACCACTGCTCCGACCGGTGCCCCCCTCCTCCGAGTTCTGCCAACCAGAAACTTAAGTCCCGGATCCATCAAGGCAAACCTCGAGTGACTTCCAGTCGGCTCATCTCAACTGCCGATTGTCTCCCTAGCTAGCCCAGGGCCCTCTTCCTGACCCAAGAAACAGTCAGACGCTCTCGACCGTGGACGGCCACGAACAGATTGGTCCCCGAAAGCCTGGCTAGGCGCTGCCGCCAAGGGCGACAGATTTCTTCGTGAGAGGAGGATGCCCGGAATCCTTCGTGGGACAAGGACCGTGGACTGGAGTGCGGTGGGAAAGGACAATTCCCAAGCGCAATCTCGAAGCTGCAACAGAGGAAGTGTCCTGATGGGCTCATTCTGGACTATTCAAATTATTGCAGTCTGACCAGTCCGTACCGACGGCTCACCGATGCACTCTGGTCCACAAGAGCCTCATTAATAATAATTAACCAAAGCCTGGACCCAGCGAACACGGCCACACACCCAGCTCGGGACACCGTATACAAGCCCATGCAACCCTCTGCACCCATCCTCACCTTAAGTATTCCAACACTAACAGCTCCATCAAAGCCTTCCATTCTTCCGCCTCCTAGGTGGAGGCCACTGTAGTTTACCGGAGAACATGCCTTTTCAGCGTTTTGTAACATTGGAGTTTACGGTTGTTTTAACCTTTACTGCCGACATTTCGGTTGACACAATCATTTTGGTGAGCATCTTGCTGCGCCGTTTCTCGCCCTGGTTACTTCGGTTCCTACTATTTAAGCCAGTCCATTACACCTTGGGTTCAGTCGTCTCCAACTTCTATACTATCCCGTATATGACACTTCTCACCTGTTATTTGTTACCGACTAGTATCCCCGGCTCTATCCTACAGTGGTCGGAATTTGCATTAATTAATTTGTTTGCGTTCCGCAAAGCAGACATTCTTTTCATATTAAATTTTGCTATGAGAAAGTATTGTATATGACAAAACTTTACCCGCACTAAATTGCACACAACTTAAACCAATCAACTAAACAATAAATCGACTTTCTCTAGATTGCGAGGCAAGCCAGCGTTGGCCTACTCAAGTTAACGCATAGTCAAATGATGGATGACTGTACAAAAATGTTGTAAAATGGCCAGTAGCATTAGATCTACGTAACTGGGTGTATATGAATGTACGCAAATATAGAAATAAGTAGTTTTGCTGTACGCATATGATAATGTGGTGCTGCGTTTGGACTTGCTTTCAGACAGGTTGTCGACGCGTTAGGTGTCCAAAAGTAATCTTTTGCTTAGAGGACTGGCGAACATTGTGTGGGGAAAATCAGCCGTTCTCGCTGTTTTGCTTTGCATGACACCAGGTCTATGTCGACGGCCTCTGTGAATCAAATGGGGAAGAAAATTATACACCGATTGGGAATAGTATCACAGTATGAACAATAAGTTATATGAAGTGATAGGCAAACACCCCTTTCACTCTGACCACCGTGCAGACGTCAGCTACTTTCCTGTTTACTAGTTTCTGTCTGTCGCACCAAAAAAGTACGTTCGTTAATGCAATACGCTGAGCCCTATTAGTTATATCCATGGTGAACAATTACAAAAGCAAAAGCTCCAATCACTAATTTATAATAATTATGTGCAACGAAAAACTGGACAATAAGCGCTGAAAGACGAGGAATTACTATCTTTTCCCATAATGTTTTTATTTAAAATTTTGCACGGTAGAAATTTGGAACGCTACCAAGTGATAGTTTGTCTCGTAATTTTATCGTTACAAGTTTGCCAGCATGGAAATTAGTCTAGTATAGATTCGGCAATGTGCGCTTCGTTATGTTGTTATCGTATGGAAACTACTTTGTATTTGGGCGCTGTTTGAACCGCTGTTGGAATCTTGCCTTTCGTTAGGCGGAAGCCTCCATCGTCCGTTTGACCTGACCTGACCTGACTTAAGCATCTGGAGGATGTTTTCTTTATTTGCATCTATAGCACATTAAAGATGAGGATCCATACGTAGCCTAAACTCAATTTCTACTACTTTTGCTGTATGCTTTTAGTATGCAAATGATTTGTGCAGCATTTTGTTTTATTTATTCATTTCTGGCAAGTGCTTAGGTCTCCACTAGAAATTTTGCACGTGACCTTCCGCGTCCTCTTGGTTATCGCGTGCCGCTCGTTTCTACGGCTTTCGCGTCGTGCAGTCAATGTTTGTACGCCGTAGATATCACCTCAGTATCCAACTTCGCCTCCCTCCTCGGTCTATGGCTGTTGGAAAATATTAGTTTTGTTAGCCGATGCCACTCCTTTAACATTTATTTGTTGTTTGGCCTTGGTTATGTGATCAGGTCATTTCAAGTTTTGAAAGTGGAATGATGCATTTTCGTAAACGGCGTCCCGTTTCGTGCTAATAAGTAAGCAAAGACCGCTGGCACTTTGACGTTCAAGCGTTTTTATTTCATGAAACCATACATGACATCCTGTTGATCACGGAATATTTAGTACTAATTGGAATCTACTAATTTTAGTGCAGTTCGTAAAACTGTTAGCCAATTTATATCTAAGCGATTAGTGACAAATTTTGCCCAGATATACTGTCTATACCTTTGTAGTGACCTAGAGGTTCCCCCGCATGTCTGTGTAAACCATTCTAAAATTTATTCAATTCATAGCCTTCTTATGTATTAGGGAATTAAGCGGTTTGCCTGTTAGAACGTTCCCGTTTGTTGGGAACACTAACACGATCTCTGCCTTTGGCGCTCCGACAACGCACTCGACGCCAACGACATTCTCCCTCTATCTCTCTTCCGGTGTCCTATTTTTAGCAATAAACTTAACCCACTAAACACATATATATAAAAACCCCAATCAAAAAAATTCCTAATACACTACCCCCATCAAACACTATCCATAACCACTCTCCCACCCAAAACAACTCTATCCTTCTCCCATCCTTTCCCCTCCTAACCTCTACTCCCAACCCTACCCCACCTCCCCATCAATCCCATACCCTCCCATATTTACCCATAAAACCCTCTCCATCACAACACACCCCATTTTAAATTCAACACTTCCCACATTTTCCATATATATTCCCCACACATATTTACCCTTCTCTTCTACAACCTTAAATCCCCAAACTAATCCTCTCCCACTCCTACCCCCTTACCTCCCCTATCCCCTCCCTTAACCCCCCCTCATCTCTCCCCCCCCTACAACCTATTTACCTTCACCATCTCTCCCTCTTCCCTCCCCTCAACTAACCAAATAATCTATTCCACTCAAACCTACCACTTAACCACTCCTCTACCCAACCCCCATCTAACCAACCACACCACACCCCCCCCACATAACAAAAACCTAATCCCCTACAAATTTCCCCATAAATATAACAAACCATATCAAAACAAGAAAACCCCCCCAACTTAAAATTCCCCCCCCCCCCCCCCCCCCCCCCCCCCCCCCCCCCCCCCCCCAATTATATATTAATTTTAATTTTTCTCCCCCCCCTCCAACACTCTTTTTCCCCCCCCCCCCCCCCCTCCCCCCCCCCCCCCCCCCCCCCCCCCCCCCCCCCCCCCCCCCCCCCCCCCCCCCCCCCCATCCCCCCCCCCCCCCCCCCCCCCCTTGGTACTTCCCTAATTTCTTTGGTGAAACATCCTTTCTCAACGCTTCAAAACCACACAAAACGTGTTTCCCTTTATTCTTAGCGTCTCATTTCGTGCCGACCCATTGTGTTTGGCACACCAGTCTTTCGGTTTTCCTGGGCATTTTTACAACTTAGTGAGTCTCGCAATATGGTAACAGAATTTGCTGATTCCGTGTTATCTGCTGCACTGTACGATAGTTTCTTCCAGTCAATCGGTTGTCAATGAGTTAGAAATTTGGCCGTTGCATGCTTGGCCCGTGTGGCGGCATGGAATTTCGGTAATAATCCTTGTTAGATGTTCGGCAGCTTTTGTCCTGAATCTATCTTACACCGCTGTCTGCCAAGTTGGATGGCCAGTCGTCCCATTTTGTGTCTTTACCAACATGTATATATATAACCACAATTAGAGACTGATGTAGTCTTATCTAAATATGATACAAACCTTATGTATCATTGATTTAACTGTTTGTAATCCGTATTTCGTTTCTTTCGAAACAAATCGTTCACCCAGACATCGTGGTTAACCAAGAGGCTGCCAGTGAGTGGCCCATTTGTTTTCCCGGCTGTCCAGTGAGAAACATTTCAGTCAAATATCGTTCACTCCAAAGAACGTTATCTCACATTCTGTACTGCGACGCCATGCCTTGAAGGTGGATTTCTGCGGCCAGGGGAACTGTGTTTGCACCGTGTAATAAAGCTACACGATTTTTTGTGTGATCTTTATGTGAACGAAATTTGTCTCACCTGGTCATTTATGGCACTCCAACGGTTACTCCTACGTGCTCTTTTCACCGAGGCCCGTTTCGCATCTACTATATCATAGTTCGGTAAGTTGTGGGAGTTATAATTCATCCGCAGTTTGAAATAGAATCCAACACCTGAATATTTGGCGCTGTTTGGGACGTTGAAATCTTCTACTGGACTTTCAGTATTTGCATATGTGTAATGTTGATCCAGATTTCATGCATATGTACTGCCCACCCCTGTGGGTTTTTTGAATTTCTCTTGAGCTTTATTCTCTAGTCGTTTGCAATGGGTGACTAATTCGTTTCTATGTTAGCAGAGGTTGATAAGGCCTTAACCGAGCTTGCCGCGGTTAGTGGGGAAGCTGTAGCAGATTGCGCCACTGTTGACAATCAATGCGCTGGCCTCTATCACTCGATCGGGTGGTCGCCAACCTTACCAGACAGTCCAGTTAACTTTAAGTAACTTACTTAGATATCTATGATAGCATTATTTAGTCTGCTGAAATTGAGGGCGTGTCACGAGCCCCCGGAGTCAGAAAACGCTGAGCTTAAGTGTACAAGAAAAGCTCACAAACCCTCTGCCCTCAAACCGGGATGTGAGGAAACGCCGAAAGGGCCACAACCTTTGCCGAATGCACCACTTACTATTGCTGAAATTCCCTCTGTGAAACGTGTGGTGCTTTCACCTTCGGTCCAACCGACTGCAGTCAAAAAGCTCTGCGGTGTGAATAGCAGGGCATGTGGAGGAAATACGCCCAGTTGGGGCAACTTTTACACAGATAACAGTGAGATGTTCTAAAGTTTCACTGAATCCACTGTCGTTCTTCCTACCGAACGCATGCCTGACGACTTTGATTGTTTTAAACTTTGCGTAACCAAGCTTTTCCTATGTGGGTTCCCTGGCATTACTGTCATGAAGCTCATCAGGCTGAGGAACGTTCCGGTTAGTAAACCAATACATCAACCCCGCTTGCTTAGAGCAGTTCTCTCTGCCGCAGGGGAGCTCAGGGCGTTACTACGAAATACATTCAAGCCCATGGCAGGAACGTTAGTGTGCGATCATAACTATCGTTGGCGAATAAATCAAAGTTAAAGGAAGTCTTCAGCAATCTAAATGCCTGGCACGCGGCTGACGTTCGGGGCGTCCGACTGGTGGGTTTTCAGGCGGTCAGCCGGTGGTCCATTTCCGCTCTGCCAGAATCTGTTATACTTGTCTCGAGCCAGGGCTGGTCGTACCGAAGTCACTCAAGTAATATTTAGCCACGTGCTTAGTCTGATGGTCAAGGTAGGTCTGCTCGTCGCCGTATTTCTTCCAGATATACTTTCGTTCGATGAAGCGCTGTGGTCTGTAAAACTAGGATGGCAAGTTCATCTCCTTGGCTATGCACTATTCCACGTCAAATGGTCCATTGGCCGTCAATGGGTTGGTGTAGCTCATCGTATGAGTTGTCACTTAGACATTTGGAGTGCCAGCGTTCTTCAGTCGCTCGACAAAACTGTTGGGGCTCTCGAAGTTTTACGGTCATGCTGGTGCATAGAAACCCTATAAGCACCTCCAACGGGCTTATTTAATTAATGTGCATGCGACCTAGCTCCACGTAGACCATTGGTGATGATAACTAGAAGTCGTCGAGATACTCAAGCATCTAGGCAGCTATCTTGGCGCCAGTAGAATGAAAGATACGATCACAGACCGCAAAGCAAAAGTCCGAGGTGCTTTGCATATCTCCGCCACGTGTGGCGCCTTCGCGATATCACTCTCGCCTTGAAGGGCAGAACTTACAATGCATGCAACCGTTTAAACCATCTGTACGGTTGCGAAACTTGGCCCATCAACTAGGCTGACATATCAAGGTCAGTTACGTTCGATCATCTCTGCTTTCACGGCCTAGCTCATATCTGACGGACGCACCGCGTGAGCAATGAGCGTGTATTTGGTGTATAGGCTGAGTGAGATAACGGCTCAGCACCGTTAGTTCATGCACCAGGCTCCCATGGCTGGGTCACATGTAGCGCATGCTAGCAAACCGACTCCCGCAACGTGCGTTGTTTGCGCGCCGGGTGTGTGGATGGAAAAAGAGAAGAGGAGGCTAAGCAATGACTCGGTTACGAATATTGAAGTCCGTTGCTTCGAGCTTGGTTTGGGTTGTTGTCTCCCGACCTCCGAAGGTCAATGAAAGCGTTTGGTTGGATACACTGGTTAACATGGCAAGGTGCATTCCTCAGTTGCACTTGTGTCGTTTCTTCGTCCCTTCCCATCATTTTTACTTTCTCCCTCCAGCCACGATCTCAGCCTTAACGCATAATGTGTTGCTGAGCAGTTTGTGATAATCATACTAGCTCATTAGAACAACAGATAGCACTGATTAAGCTACGTTGGCTTGGGCAAGTACTACGTATGCTTTATCACCGCTTACCTAAGAAGACCCTGTTTAGTCTGCCAGATGTGGTGTGGCACAAGGCTCGAGGTGGACAGAAGTGGACTTGCCAGTGGGGAATGAGGTCACTGATGATCAAACTGGGTGCCGTCGGTCCGTCTCGTCTTCTGGGCTGGAGTCAGTGACCCGCCTTGTGTTTGGCTCGAGACTTTACAGGACATGGCTCGCAATCGCCATCAGTGGCGCGTCTGCAGTCGTCTTCTAATCGGATTGCATGTTTAAAGTGTGTTTGGTGCTATCTGCGGGGTAATGGCTGCTTATGATGCATGGCAGTGAAAGCCTCAAGGAAGCTGTCCCACCGATGTTGTCTTATCTTTGCACGATAGCTAGCTGTTTGTGACGGTATGTTGTCTACACAAGATGTAGGTGCCTGGGCCGTTAATGTTTTCTTAGGGTGTTAAGGTTTTCCGGTGTCTATTCTCTCCTACTTATTATTCTTCGTTCCGTAGGTCGTTATGGTTGTATGGCAGCGAAGCATCAGTTCAAATGGCTGAGGTACTGTTGTTGTGATTGTTGTATTTGCAACGAGACTGGCTCTTAACGTGGTGTGATGGTTTGCCTACCCCCGTGACCCAGTGAACTATGCTGTGTCACTTACCAAATGCTTCCAGAGCCACTCAGTGACAGGTCAGTTGTTAGGGGTCAGATTAACTCAATCTCCCAATCTGATACTCTTAGGAAGTTAGGGAGAGGTCGATGTTCCTCTTCCTTTGAAACCTAGCCACTGGAAACAACAGGTCCATGGATTCTAAGCTCACAGCTCAATGGGCATAGCGCACGAGCGCCACGCATTGTCTCTGATGGTGGGAGGGCACCATCCGGTGCTTAATGGTTTGCTACCGCCCGCCTCAAGCCAGGCACCCTCTGATCAAATTCGTGCATACCCGCCAACTCCCACCTTCGGCTGGCCTTGGTTGCAAGTGCCTAGTATAACGGTCGTAGAACACAAGTGCATTGTTCTAGATCTTCATCGGCTGTGTGTGACGAACCTCAAACAGATCCAATAGGTCTCTGCAAGCACACCGAGCTAGACTTGCTCTCCGCTGTTTCGTGGGTCAGGCGATTGGGTTAAATGCTTCAGGTGACGTCCTTTTAACTAAACCTCCACATACTCCACTGCCTTGTGGGTCTGACTCTTTAGTCAAAAACTAGAAGTAGGGCACCTCTGACAAAACCCCTCTGGGATTCGGCAGCCGGTGGGTATCATCTGCCCTCTCGATCACATCGGAAATACTCCGTCTTCTCTCTCCCCTCTCTTTTTCTCCTTCTATTGAGTAAGAGTGCCGCTGACCTGGAAGTTGCTGCTATCGATACATGTAGCCCTTCCATCAAACTTAGCGTTTCATTTTACGTTGGTTATTTTAATGTCCGCATTCTAGGTCAGATCTGCCAACTGGCAGCGCTGACCCTCACTCTTAACTTTCTTGGTGTTGATGTGAGTTGTCTCCGAAATACACCCACACGATAACGTCATGACAAATTTCAGACTCTGGTCCTGAATCTGATGGCGATGGCTGCACTCTTCGCTATGGCAATACTGTGTCAATGGATCAAGATATTTCATACGTTCATTATGCACGTTAGCTAAAGGTGGACAACACCTTAGCTACTTTGCCGCAATACATAAAAGGGAAAAAATTGCAACAGCTGCATGCTAGCTAAGCTACTAGTAACGGATGTATATCGTTCCGGAAAGCTACCAGCCGTCAACTGTGCAGCAAAATAACATTTATTATGCAAACTATCTTATGCTAAGAAATGAAATATTGTTTGGAGGGGTAGACTAAGAGGGATTGGGAGGGACAAGAAACCCATAGCTCGGACGCTCAAGATATTTATGGTGTCGGTATTGCTTTCAGCGAACGCGTTGAATGCAGTTTGGTCGACTGGATACCGGTGAACAGCCACATCTGTGCGGTTCGACTTCGAACCTCTATTGGAGCTAATAAGCAGTGCTTGAAGACGAGGTGGATTTTCATCGTCTCAGTCTATGAAGTTCGGAGGTTATCAAAGACACTTTCTATCTACAGCTCTTATCACTTTGGATGGCGTAGAATACTGACATCTTGATTGTTGCTGGGTCGTTTCTCAGACTATGGACAAAACCTGGGTAGCCGCTTCGGACTCGTTGCACACCGAACTGATAGTGGTGGGCGATTCCGGCAACTGTGTGCCGACCACAACCTTTACCTTACCAGCGCTGCTTTTCAACACCAACATTCACACCGCGTCACCTGGCGTTCACCGAATTCCTCGATGGCCTGAACCCAAATCGACCATATTGCCATCACCTACAGATGGCGCCCATCAGTCCAAGACTTGGTCCATTTGGAGCAAGTGCCTGGGTTCTGACCATGCTTTAGTGCGCGCACACTGCGCTTCAAAGAGGCGCCTATCTTCTAACCTTATCTGTAACTTGAACTCACAATCTGTAGTTCAACAATATAGTGGCAGTGGGAGCACCGCATGAGCAATAAATGTCTTCGGTTTCGCATATTGGTTGCAGTAAGTGTGCAGGAACCGTTTAACACTATTATATCACGCACCAGGCTCCGATGGCCGGGCCACGTGTTGCGCATGCCAGCACACCGACTTCCGCGACGTGCGTTGGCGCGCCGGGGTTACGGTTTGAAGTGGAGAAGAGGCCAAGCGATGACTTAGTCGAGAG